GCTTCTAACTGCTGAGCCATCTCTCCAGCCCTTCTACATTATTATTATTACTATTATTATTATTATTATTATTATTATTATTATTATTTGAGACAGGGTTTTTTGCTGAACCTACAGATCACTCATTCAGCTGGGCTGGCCGTCCAGTGAGCTCCTGGGATCCACATGCCTCTGCCCTACGAGTGCTGGGGTAACAGATGCATGCTGCTGTGCCTTGCTTTCTGCTGGAGTTACAGAGCTGTGAACCATCACAGGAGTGCCAGGATTCGAACCTGAGTCCTCTGAAAGAGCAATACAAGTTCTTAACTGCTGAGCCGTCTCTTTGGCCCTCGGCCCACACAATTGGTTTTATGAAGTGCTGCAGATGGAGATCAGGGCTTTGTGCACACTGGGCAAGCACTACCAACCGAGCCACATCCCCAGCCCCACAAAAGAACAGTGTGACTTTCCAAACTGAGTCTGAACAATCCCTCTCAGCTTTCCAAGGAAACCACAATAGACATTTAGTCTCCATATCAACAAACGAAAGCCCCAGAGCCTCACCTCTCCTCCACCTGGCCAGCTGCTTGGACAACGACTTCAGGTCCCCCCAGTGAACCATAAATTCAGCCCCACTTTCTAATTCAAAGATGCTCATGTGTGGCATAAATCAGAGGGGAGTGGGAGAGAGGGACACACTCACCACAGTCTCAGAGACGGCCAGTTTGACCTACTCTGCATTAAAAACAGCTCTGGCATGGTGAAAATAAACGAAAACACCTTCCCAAGACAGAAAAACTTCCCAAACAGCAAGCTTATTGATTTTTTTGAATTTGCTTTAGTTTACATAAGCTTTTCATATATAAGCCACTGTGGTCATAAATGTTTAATCAGCTCCCAGGATCTGAAACATAATCAAGGATCCCATTACCTGGCGCTCCATGACTCTGATTCCTCCACGATTTTCATTCCCATTTGTAGTCTCTGCCAGACAATAAAGTCGATTCCCCTCCAAACCCTTCCCCAAATGGTTAGATCATTATCAGCCCATTTGTAGGCTGACTCCCATTTACAATTCTCCTGGAACTCCAGCCAATGGCAGTTAAGACAACTCAAAAGCACTTCAGATGGGAGGCCCTTCGCCAAAGCCTTGACCTTATTTGTTCTTAGACCTTGAAAACAATTGCCATGATTTTTCCAGCAATTTTCAACTCAAGTAAACTTGATTTGTTCCCTAATCAGGACTGTGGTCCCTCTCAGTGACAAGATGAAGGGAGGGAGAGGCCCTGGACAAGATGACTATAATTGTAAGGGAAGGGAGGAACATTCTGAGAAGGGAGATGGTGCAGAAAGAAGAAACAGACATTCACAGAGTCTGGCCCACAGCTAGGGTCGGATGGTGAATCTGAGGCCTTCTTTGCATATATACAACAGTTCAGAAATCAGCGCTCCATCCACTATGAGCCAAGATGTTCCACCAGGGGCATTTAGTTTGAGCAGTGTAGGGTAGGTGGGTGAGGCACCCTTCCTTATTTGTCATACGGGTCACCCGTGACTCCCCTATAACAAAAGACAGATTAGAGAGAGAGAGAAGCATAGCAGAATTATTTAAGCCAACTTTTAGGTGGTCAAGGAGTCTTCAGAAGGAAGACCTAGGTACAAAGACCTAGGGAAAATTGGTTACTTTCATGTTTAGGTCTGAGGACAGCTTTCCAGAAATGTGACTGGGCCAAAGAAATGATCTGCTATGACAGCCTGGGTAAGGACACTCAGCAGTGAGTGCCCACATTCATCTTTGCGGCATTCCTTCCACCGGTGGAGGACACATCTCTTCTGCAGAGAAGGTCTTATGATCCAGCAGTCAAGGTAAAGCAGAGCACTCTTTACGGCCAGCTCTTATGGGTAATTGAGGGACTAGTTCTAAGTTTCAGGAGTGGCATTTGGAGAGAGGGAAGCAGGAGAAGGAAAGGAGCAGGATAAAGTTAGAAAGACAACTTTTCTCCCCTGTGGCTTCCCAATGTCCTGTGGCTCGAAATGCACAGCAAGCAGGCGACAGCGCCATGCTTTGAAAACCATTCCTGGGCTCCAGCAGTAGAGGTGTTGACACACACTCACAACGGTCAAAACTTCCATCACTGCAGAGCCAGGGGAGGCAGTTCCCATTCCTCACATCTGCAGAGATCATCGCCAGCCACTCAGAGATCTGGGGGTCCATCTCACCCTGACTTTACACAGCCTGTGAGCTACGAAGCCCTGTGCACTCTACCCCAATAACACCCAGAATGACTGTCCCAACCTTAGCACCTCCAGGCTCTGGCCTAGACTCAGGAATTTTAAATTGGCTGTGAGTCTCGGTGCCTTCTGTTATGTTAGTCTGTTCTGCACATGTCAGCCACACCTGCCCTTCCCATGTCCGAGCTCCCACCGGAGGTGCTCAGCAAAGAGCCAAACAATGGATTCCCTCTCATTGGATTATTATTCTCCCCACCTACACCTGACCCTTTCAAGCTCTCTGGATCGTTCTGGTTTTCTCTGACAGGATCCTAGTATGTGTTCCCTCAGTGACTCTGCTCTGTTGGCCTGTAATTATTCTAAGGTCAGAGCTGTGTTTGTCTATACATGTGGTGATGTTTTATTTGTGCACCCCAATAAAGCTTATCTGAAGATTAGAGGAAAAAGCCAGCTACTATATTAAATATAGAGGTCATATAGAGGTCAGGCAGTGGTAGCACATGCCTTTAATCCCAGCACTAACCATGGAGGTCTGGAGGCCTGTACAGACAGACAGGAAGTGATGTAGCTAGGAGGAAGTAAGAGGGCAGGGACAGAAAAGCATATAGGCATGGGTATACAGGAAGTAGGCCTCTCTTTTGCTAAGGATTTCTAGTGGTAAAAACATGGCTGGCTTCCTTTTGCTTCCTTTTAATAAGACCGTTTAGCAATTCATCTTACATATACATGTTCTTATCTTGGAGCAACTTGGAGGAAAACCAAAACCTAGGCCACAGGATAATGTGAGTGCCCTCATTATTTAAATGAGTTAATGCAAGGTGAGACTTAACCTAGTAACTAGCATATGCCAGGGAGGTGCAAACCTTGCTGATAATAATAGTAAATAGCATTGTGCTTATAACAAAGTATGTGCTTGGATCAGCAAGATGGTCAAGGGCAGGAAGGTGACATCAGGACACTCAGTTCAATCACAGCAGTTAAATGGTTCAAGGAGAAACCCTGTACTGCCAACAGTGTTTCCTGAGCCCTCACGCAGGCTCTGGCACACACATGCCCATATCTATAATCATATGCAGTAAACACATCAAAATGCAATAATTTCAAAAAATATTTGCTCCAGAAACACATGCAGAATGGATTGGTCAATGAAAGAATTCACCAACCCAGGTCCTGCCCCCATTTTCTCTCAGCCAGCTGCAGTCTGTACTAGAATGTGGTAGAACTGTGTGGAAATCAGTGCCAGAGAGGAATGAGCAATCTTTACTGCTTTCTGTGCCCATCATGAACAGTAAAGCACATCTTTGTTTCCCAGGGGCTTGGAACCCACACTACTGTACTGTGAAGAACTCACTGAGACAAGGTGATGTGGAGTTAAAGGACACAGAGTGAGATACTACAAACCCACCTCCATGGTACTGGATGTTGTCTTTGATAACTAAAGTGTGCTGCTTAGAAAGCCTATTATGCAGCACTTGGGAGGCAGAGCCAGGCAGATCTCTATGGGTTTGAGGACAGCCTGGTCTACAGAGCAAGGTCCAGGACAGGCACCAAAACTACACAGAGAAACACCGTCTCAATGCCGCACCCCTCCCCCCACAATAGAAAGCCTATTCTGCTTTCATTTCTGTTGTAACAAAATATCCTAGTCAAAAGGAACACAGGGAAGGGAGAGTTTATTTCTTTGCAATTCCAGCATGTTACTGTGGGGAAGTCAAGGCAGGCATGTAGAGCATCACGCCCACTGTCAGGAGCAGGGAGAACAAATGTGTGGATCCTTGCTTGTTCACTCAGTTTTCTTCAGAACTCTTATACAGTCTAAAACTCAGACCAAGAACCAATGCTCCCCATGTTCAAGGCCAGTCCTCCCACTTCAAAAATATATCTTTGTAGTGCTGAGGGAGCACATACTAGAAACAATGCCAGAGAAATCCAGACAAGCCCTTACAGCCATTCCTATAGGGCCGATAGGAATACAGTGTAAGCCTACAGTATAGGCGAACCCAACGTAGACAATTTCTCAACTGAGGACTTCTTCACAGGTCATTCTTGGTTGTAGCAAGTTGATAAATACAACTAACTGGCATGACACCGGGCTTGCAAATGCTTCCCAGGTTAGATGCTTGGTCCCTCCTAGCAAATACGTACACGGAATGCTATCTTACATGGCTAACATGGGGTGCTCTCCACCCCCCTGTACCATACTTCAGGTTCCTCAGGGTCCAGGCCGGCTCAGTCATGGGCCTCCACAACATGCTGGTCTACAAACAGCCAATGCACACAAAGGATCCTGGGCATCTAGTGAGTTCTTTAGAAGATGTAGCAACATCTCCATCAAAAGCTAGAAAAGGAAAATGTGCCTATGGATGAGGCCAGCCCTGAAATCCTATGATCTCATAGCTTTCCTAATGTATCGTCTTTGATAAGGCTGCACCGTTTTAAAGTTATTTGGCTGTCGACAGCTTACTTGGGCTTAGATAACATTACACTGGTGCCACAACATGAACCTCATTCCTTCTTCCCTGTCACAGGAAGGGCTTTCTTCCCCTCCTCTGAAGCTGACATCTCTGCTTGTGCCCAGATCCATCTCACCCCACATCCATCGCCACCACAATATACTCAATTGATTCTCCCCCCACTCACTTACGAATTTGGGAAACAGGCATTTCACTTGAAAAAAAAAATAACAAACACATCATTAGAATCTTCCTCTTTGCACAGTTCAGACAACAGGATGTGATGTGGAAACCCATCATAGGTGATGAAGAATGCTGGAAATGTAGTCCACCCACCTGTTTTTTTGTGGAGCAAACTGGATCTGTAGATGCTATGGTCCTGGCTCAGGACTGAGGAGACAGAGTTGCTCTGACTTGCTGGGCTCTTAGAAATGAAGGGTGAGTTCTGTGGTGTCCTGGCTTCACTCTTCTCCGTGCTAGATAAGTGGAGGGCATCCTGAGTTTTCTTCTTTTCCTTTTTTAACATGTTGACCAGGATATCTGAAATCTGATTTAAGGATCTAGTGGCTCCTGAGAGATTATCATGATCAGACAAAAATTAAAAAAGAAATTATTATCCTCCAACCAAGTAATTGTAACTAGTGCACTTCGGTGCAGACTGGCCACAGGAATATAGCAACTCCTTGAATCTGCATGTGCAGCTGTGGACACTTAGGACAGAATCAGCCTTGATGGTGGCACAGTGAAAACCATCAAACAGAAGATCTTTTACATACTGGATATTGCTTGTGTGAAAAAGTAGAAATGGGAGCCTGTTGGAGTGTTTGCCTAGCAAGCACAAACACCTGAGTTCAGCTGAGCACCACATTAAGCCAGGTGGTGTAGCGCATGCCTAGAATCCCAACACTCTGGGGTAGAGGGAGGATCAGAAATTCCAGGACACCGTTGTCAATTTAATGACTTTGGGGGCATCCTGGGCTACATGAGACCCTGTCTTCTTTTCAGGACCCATGCAAAAGTCTGAGTATAGAGGGTGGAGATGCTTGTCACCAGTGCTGGCGGATGGGGAAAGGCCTACAACTGAGGTTTTCTGGCCACTGTGACCAGTCAAATTGGCACTCTCCAAGTTCAGTGAGAGACTCTGCCTCAAAATCTAAGGTGGAGAGTGACTGAGGAAGACACCCAATATCAACCTTTGGCATGCAGGAGAGCATGTGTGCATGTACACACTTACACACAGGAGCCTTAGAAAATGCAGCAATAGCATGGGAAAGAAGACTGCTTCTAAGAACTGAGGGGGATTAGCCTGGTTTACACATGTTTTTGAGCGTGTAACATGGAAATAATCTGACTTCCATATTCCTCCTCAGATTTAACTTCAACTTGTTGATTTCTGGATGGCCAATGAGTTTTTCCATCAGAATACCCAATGTGCCTTCCATTCCTTCTTGCTTCATCAAAATGTCTTTTCCAGAGGTGGTCACAGCATCTCAGCGTGTCTCTGTTCTTGCTCCCCATTATGTGGGTTCCAGGTGTTGAACTCACATTATCAGGCTTGACAGGAAGTGGTTTTACCCACTGAAGCTTCTCACTGGCCCCTCTCTCTCCTTCTATGAGGGAGGTAACCTCATGTGACTCAGTCACAGCCTGAAGCACCTAGTGTCGCCCCTGTGAACATCACAGTGAAGACAGCGGGGGTGGGGGGGGCGTGCGGGTGCACACATCTCACTTTTCTATAAACACATGCAAGCCAGCCTGGACTGGTCCCTCTCTGTCACATCTCATTTCATTCCTCCTCAATACATAGACGTTCATAAGCCATGTCAAGTACTGAGAGGTTGGTAGGAGTTTTTTGGGGGAGATCCCTGTCTAGGATCAAGGCCAAGAAAAGAAACAGAGCACAGACTGGGGGAGGGCCAGGCCTGAGGCCATCCCTGGAGATGGATGGGGTAAGAGAAAGAGAAGGAATGCAGGGTGACAGCAGTGTGGCCAGCACTTGGAGACAAGGTGTGCGTGGGGGTGTGATTCACAGTCAGACTTACCACTGCTGGATAATAAAGGAGCTAAAACTGACTTGACTCTGACATGGGGCCTGCTAAGACTCAACTCAAATCAGAGACCGAGGCTAATGAGGCAGTTTGTCTGCTTTGTTTGGATTGGTTTCCACCTCTTTACCAGAGGTTTTCCTTTGCGTGATTGTTTGTGTATATGTAAGCTTCTCTCTCTCTCTCTCTCTCTCTCTCTCTCTCTCTCTCTCTCTCTCTCTCTCTCTCTCTCTGTGTGTGTGTGTGTGTGTGTGTGTGTGTGTGTGTGTGTGTGTGTGTGTGTGACTGTGTGTGCGCATGTGTGAGTGCTGGTGTCTGCAAAGTCCTGAAGAGGGCATCAGCTCCCCTAGAACTGGAGCTCCAGGTGACTGTGTACCGCCTGAAGTGGGTGCTTGGGCATGAGGGAAATAAACTTGGATCCCCCTAGAAGAGCAGCAAATGTTCTTAATTGCTGAGTCATTTTTGTAGCGCCTCTACACATTGAAAAAAATGTATAAAACATGAACCTATAGCCCGATATATTTGTGTGTGGGTCCCTAACCCCATGTTGGGGACGGAACCCAGGCCCGTGTCTCCAGCTCCTGCGAGATCAGTATGCACTTTTAACTGCTGAGCCATCTCCCCATCTCCCATGTAGCTAAGACCTTTTATGTATTTTTACAACAGCTGCTCTTCAAGTGTCTTCGTAATTTTTTTAAATGACTAAAATATGTTTATAAAAATTTGACAAGAATTATTTCTTGTGAATGTTTAAAGGCTATAAGTGTCATGAAAATGTCAAATCTTTTACAAGAAGATTGAAAGGTAAAAATAAGGAGCAGTCCTGAAGAACTGTCCCAGAGTCCTGAGGTCTAACCAGTCCAGTTGGATCTCTTTAGACGTAATGGCTTCTGTCTGCACCAGGAGGCTGCGCCTGGGCCCACCAGCAGCTACTGCCTTGAGCACCGAGAAGATGCTGCCTCTGAGAACCAAGAAGAATTCTGTCTGGAGCACTCAATCTTTGCTCACTGCCTAATTTGGGAACATCTGAATGTGGGATGCAGGACAAGAGATTTGGCTTTTAAATAAAAAGTTACATCTAAGCCAACTCTGCTTTTCATAAACTAAATACCATCCGCCATTTTTTTTTCAGTCATCTTTTGAGTTTCACCCACACACCAGCCACAAATTCTGGGCCATGGAGAGGCTGTGGTCAGCATGATGTCTGGTCAGCTAGCTAAAGATAACCAGCTAACTTATTGGTGCTGGACTCAAAGCACAAAGCCCACCACAGAGCAACCAAAATATATTTGAAAAAGATTTAGTGTTAAGAGATGGTATGGTGTCAGGCAAGAGCTGAAATGTTCTCTGTAAGAATAACCACACCAAGTCTTGAGAGGTGGTTCAGCTGGTTAAGAGTCTTGCCACCAAGTTTGATGACTGATTCCATTCCCAAGTTCCATATAGTGGAAGGAGAAAACTGATTGTCCTCTGACTTTCACATGTGTGAACACACACACACACACACACACACACACACACACACACACACACACACACTACCAAAAACAAACAAACAACAAGCTAAAATGCTGAAGTCAGATGTTTGCTTGAGCTCTGTGGGATCGACACTTCTTAGTGTATGGCAGGCTGGGATAAACTGGGACACTAGGAATGTGGTAGCACCACCCCCGGGGCCAGGAGTGGGTAATCTACATGCTCCCCCCTCCAAGCCGGGACAGTTAGAGTCTCCCGCCCTGCCCCGGAAGGATACTGATCTCATTGTCCCTCTGCTTGAGAAGGTCTCGGAGCTTCGTATGTTCTTCGCCTTCCAACAGCTCTTGGCACGCCTGGTGCGTGCTTTCAGAGGAGACTGGATTCTTTATGGTGCTCTTGTCATTCAACAGCTTCTGTAAGTTGGGGGTAAGAGCTTACTGAGCATGCCCACGTTCTAAGTCCCTAGTATATACCGGGCATGCATGTCTGCCCTTATCCTTGTCTTTCCCATTCCCCTCCCCCTTAGCTTCTCTCTCTTTTAAACTGGTGAACATCCTCCTTAAACAGTAAGTATCTCCTCTGGACTCCGCTTCCCTTTTTGTCAAGCTATTTAGTCAAATTGAAGCACTCCCTCCCAGAGTGAGGAGGGAGGCCAGTGACTCAGGAAGCAAAGTAAGAAGCAAACAAAACTTCCAAGGCATAGGAAGCTGCTGAAACGCACAAAGTTCACAAGGCCCTCCCCCAAGGTTAACAAGCAATACACGATCACTGAAGGAGAGACTCTGGTACTGCGGCCTGCAGGCTGCAAGGGAGCTTAACCTATGCAGTTTTCCAAGTCATCGCCAGTGCTGGGGTGGGACTTTTTAATGACACATGTTCCTCAGAGTCACCAAGGCTCTGTAACCTCAATAAACTCATTGGTTTACTCAAATGGACTTGGCAGAATCGTTTCTTTGATCTGTTAGTGCTAAATAGATGTTTGTTTATATCTCCACAAGAAAAAGGTACAAAATGCTCTATCATCTCACAGTATCTTCACAAAATATGCAAAATTACAAGTGGAAACTGGTGACATTCCCATCCCCTTATCACAAAAGCAAAACTCCGGAGGCTGAGGAAAGTTAGTAAATTATTCAGATAAATCAAAATACTGGGAAAAAAACCTGGAGACAATTATCTCGAAACTGTTTGAAAATGTGTGTGTGTGCACATTTTTGTGTTCATGTATGTGTTCACATTTGTGTGTTTTAGTATAGACATATTCTGGGCACAAGACAGAGGGACTCCTGGCAAAGGAATTAGAAGCCTGTGGCCAGGGTTTATTTGTGGAAAAGTTAGATACAATCCCTGCAGCGGCCCAGTGATAGTCACAGCCTGGGGAGACACTCAGGCTGTTTTCTGCACGTGTAAGGCTGGGTCCTGGTGTTTCTAGAGTTGGTCACCAGGAAGAGTTTTTATTGCAGTTGGAGCATGGCAGGACATGGCTGAGACTGGAGGAAACATTGAAATTTACCTTAAAATGATGAAAACAGTGATGGATTTTACGCATATCGGCGCCAACTTCCAGTCTACTCTCTGGGTCTTGGTCTTCCAAAAAGGATGCTATTAGTTTTTCCAGCCTAAAAAAATACATAATGCATGAGAAGCAAGAATGAGCTGTAAGCCTTAGAAAGCCTGACGGCCTCTCCTGCAAGCAGAACATCTGAAGGACAGGATGTGGGGCCCATATTTTCTTAGAATTCGTTACTTGGTTTGACTGCAAAAGTGAAGGGGGAAAGCATATTGATAAAGTGAAATCTGCCATTATGCATTTACTTGACTAATTTCCAATGAATGTTCACATGCAGGTTTCCATATAAAGACTATTTGAGGGGCTGGAGAGATGACTCAGTGGTTAAGAGCACTCACTGCTTTTACAGAGGCTCTGAGTTGGGTTCCCAGTACTCATGTTTAGTGGTTCATAATCACCTGTAACTCCAGCTACAAGGAAACCCAAAGCCCTCTTCTGGCCTGCGAGGGCACTGCATGCATGGGTGCATTCATGCTTGCCAATGTGTGCGTACATATGCGCACACACACATGCATACACACACACACACACACACACACACACACACACACACACACACACACACACACAGATATACAATTAAAAGCTTTAAAAAGTCATTTGATTTCTATAACCTACCCATTCTAGCCACACTGAACCTCTTTGCCTCTGTGCCAAGCTGCCACATTGTTAGAGAAAGTAATAAAAATAAACAATTCCTATATTAGTTTCATTGAAAACGCATGATACTCAGCTTCAGCTGGCCCTCAGCAGTGTTCGTTTAATCGTTCCTGGTGGACCTATGGTCTCCACAGTGGTTCTTCCCAGTCTTCCCATGATCCCCACGTCTGCCACTGAACTCGCCCTGTGGAGCAGTGAGGTGCCTTCACACCAGCCTGAGAAAGCCACACTGTTGCCACAGACTGCATTCTTTCTTCCTCCCGGCAACTGTCCATCCTCACCAGGCAGGTTCTCCCCACCTTTATCCCCAACTTGATAACACTCTTCCCTCTTCTCAAGCTATCCTCTTCCACTGGGCTTCTTCTGATATCTGTATCACTATTCTGCACAGACTTCCTTCTCTCTACTTTCAATAATTTTCATGTTCTCCCTATTCCAAAAAGCAAAATTAAAAAATACCTCCCTTTGGGGAGAATCAGCCAACCACTATTCCCTGTTGCTCCCCAACTCATTTGCAGTATCCCCGTCCCTGATGCAATCCAGGGTCTGTGAATGTACCTGATCCACCCCATTCTCCAACTGACAGTACCTCATAATAATCACAACAGGTCTGGGAAGGTGTCTCAGTCAGTAGAGTGCCTATCAGGTGACCAAGAAGCCTGAATTCAGAACTCCAACATCCATGTAAAAAGTCAAAAGTGGGGGTGCTTGCATGTAAATTCTAGAGTTGGGGAAGTGAAAAGAGGGGGATCCCTGGGGCTTGCTGGCTAGTCAGTCTAGCTGAAGGGGCAAGTTCCAGGTTCAGTGAGAAACCCTGTATCAATATAAGGTGGAGAATGATAGAGGAAGTTGACAGACATTGACCTCTGTCCTCTATAGGCATGCTCATGTATGTGTGGGCACACACTCCTACATATGTGCATACACATGAACACACACATGCCTACATATGTGTATATACATGAACACACACACTCCTACATATGTGCATACACATGAACACACACACACACTCCTACATATGTGCATACACATGAACACACACAGATGACAAAAACATGAAATAATTCTTGGTGTCCCACCCTCAATATTAGATGCTCAGTGCAAATACATAGGTTAGTAAATGGATTCACTGCATGGAACCCGTTCCCTTGTGTTGAGTTGGAACCTTAGAAAGGAAAGCAGCAGGCAGAGGGATGGTGGTCAGTACCTACGTTCCCAGGCCTAGGAGCAGCCCTTCCATGTCTTCCTAGCAGGATGAAAGCATGTGCATGCTTTCACTGTCTTTGCAACAGCACACACTTCTCTCCCACTGCTGTTATCAGTGCGCCCACACAGCGGATGATTCTGCCTCAGAGCACACTTGGGTTTTGTTTGTATTTCTTCCTGCAGCTGTAACACATGATCGCTGACATTGCCAAGTAGGAGACAATTTATATTGTAATTCTATTTTCTGATTTTATTTTGTTTTCTTGAGACAGAACCTTCCATCATAACCCAGGATGTCTTCACATTCACTAGGCAGCCCACTCTGGCCTCAGACTCATGCCAGCCCCCTGTCTCAGCCTTCTGAGATTATAGGTATGAGCCATCCCGCCCCCCATTATCCTGTAATCCTTAAGGATTTTCTTCAGATGTAGGGCAGCATCCACTTTCAGTTTCTGTCTTAGTTTATGTGTGTTACTGTGACAAAACACTCTGACAAAAGCAACTCCAGGGAGAAAGGGTTATTTTAGAGACTCAAGGTCAAGGCAGTGGAAGCTTGAAGCAGCTGGACCCTGGGTCCACCTTCTGGAGATAGAAAGAGATGCTCCTGCTGCTGCTTGGCTCCATTTCTCCATTTTACATCAAGGAGCCCTGCACAGGGAATGGTGGGTCCTCCCACACCAGTTACTGTAGTCGAGGTAATTCCCCCTCAGGCATGCGCAGGGGCCCACCTCCCAGGTGGCTATGGCGTCTGTCAGTTTGACAACCCTCTCCATCGCTCTATTTGTTGACTTTCTTTGTTGTGGAACAGAGCTTCAACTGCCAGATACACACAGAAGTGTATTTATGATACATAGTTTCTCTTCTGTGGCTATAAGATGCGCTGACGAAGTGCACGTTTGGGAGCAAGGGTTTCTTTCAGCTCACAGTTTCAGAGGGCTACAGTTTCAGAGGGTTACAGTGCATTATGGCAGCCAAGGCAGGGTAACAGGAAGCTAAGGCCTGCTGACCTGGTAGCCAGGAAGTTGACTGATTAATCCTACTGCACATACACAAAGAAAGCAAAGAATGAAATCAGGAGTTAGAGCCAAGCTCCAAACCCTCAAAGCACACCCCCACACTTCCTCCAGCAGGTTCTACCTCGTAAGGGTTCCACAACCTCCCCAAAGAGTAGCACTAAAGGGACCAAGTGTTCAAAGACATGAGCATGCAGGGGACCTTCAATCTACATGATACAAAGACTTAATTTTTTTTCTATAACATAATCCTGAAATATGTTCTCATGAAGAAAGTCCCAAAGTCAAACCCTCTCCCCACCTCCTGATCCCATCTAGACTCTCCATGTATAAGAAATTCAGGTCAGTGTCAGGCACTCGACACTTCGAGCTTCTCTTCTGACTTGGGCGACAGAGGGGAAGGCTTCAGTGGTGTGGAAGACATTCCAAATACAGAGTTTTCTTTGAGATAGATCTCAGTATTGTGTCTTCTTCATCTTAGAAGCCCTGTCACATGGGGCCTCAAATGCAAAGCCATGTAGCTTCTTGGGGCACTCATTGATTTGGAACAGCAAATTCAAAAAATTGAAATTAAAATCCAGGACAGGTTTGCCTCACAAGTGATGGTCTTTTTGTGAGACTACATGCTTATTATCATATATTTCCCCTATGGGATTAAATAATGCTATTTTGGATAGATTTTATTTTACTTTTTAGGGACAGGGTCTCCAGGCTGCCCTTGAACTGACTATATAGCTGAGGATGACCTTGAACTTATGATCCTCCTGCCTCTGCCTCCCAAGTGTTAGGATTATAGGTGTGTGCTACCACATCCAGTTTATTGAAATACGTTTTAAGTAAGACCAAACTCAAAGCACTGGAGATTGATATTGCAAGCACTTTGAAAATGCAACTGATGTAGGTTCTTGAAAGGTCTAAAACTCAAGTTTGCTGTTTGTAATTCCAGGGTTTCACAGTGACAGTTTCTTTAAAGGTGTGGCCACCTTGCTGTGATCAAACATTACTACTTCAGTGGGTTTAGAGAAGTGGTAATGTTTAGGGAAGCTTAGGGTTTAGAACAAATGGAAAGAGAGCAAATAGCCTGCTGGAGGGGTGCTGCGAGCATGCACCTGTGGCTGTTCTGTGGAGACATGCCTGCAGGCATTCCTCTCGAGGCTCCTAGGGCTGCAGGAGAACAGCCTGGGGCTTCTCACAACCAGGAGGCCAAGGCCAATGTGTCTGACCTAAAAGTGGCGGTTGATATTCTAGCCATGCATACAAAAGAGCAAATTGGCACCAGTACCAATGTGCTAGAAAGTTCCCAGCTGAAGGAGAAAACCCCAGGGCAGCATCCAGTGGAAAGCCTGGCTTCAGGGCCAGGAGACTGAGCCTCAGGTGGGACTGATCCAGACAGTGGCTGGGGAAATGCAGCCATGGAGGTCAGAACTGGACCGGCCCAAGCTGTGAGCAGCAGGTTATCTGGCTCATACCTTCTGAGAAGCTGGTTGGAGATGATCTCCTGGCCATCAGGCCCTCTGGGCACCAGCCTGCAGGTGTTCATATCAAAGGATCTCCGTGGTGAAGAACTGCCTGCTTACCCGTAGGGTGTGAGCAGGTTCACTGAGATGCCGATGTTGAACAAGAAGCATGCAGCTAGCTGCCTTTACCTGCTGTCTCTGTCCCTCAGCCTCTATCCAAGCCTGCTCTGGTCCTGCCTCAGCAAACCTCATGCCCGAGTCTCCAGATGGCCACCCGACCCCTAGTCCTGGCTGCTCTCTACATCTGGTCACTACTGTTGTGGAATATTAGTTGAAGATGTGTTACATTCATTTATGCTGTAGAATATTTGTTTAATGATGCAAATATGTGTTGCATTCTTTTATGTTTCATTTGTTTAACTCTGTGAAGCTGTGTTAACTTCGCCTGTCTAAAACATCTGATTGGTCTAATAAAGAGCTGAATGACCAATAGCTAAGCAGGAGAGGGAAAGGCAGGGCTGGCAGGCAGAGAGAATAAATAGAAGGAGAAAAAGAGAAGAGGGAGGAGTGAGAAAAGAAGGAAAGGAGGATGCCAGGGGCCAGCCACCCAGCTACACAGCCAGCCATGGAGTAAGAAGTAAAGAAAGGTATATGGAATAGAGAAAGATAAAAGTCCAGAGGCAAAAGGTAGACTGGACAATTTAAGAAAA